AAAGGAAGGACCAGCTGACTTTGTCAAAGGCTTTTTCTACAATCACACTTGTGTGGGCTGGTGAGGCACAAGGGAAAGGTTCAGCAGGTGGAGACCACAGACTGCTGCTCTCTCCTGGCTCGTTCTTCTTTTAGCAGATACGATGATTTTCTAAGTTTGTGCTTGTTGAGTCTCTACTAAAAACTTTGCTCCTTTGCCACCTGACAGCCAATTAAGTCCACAGGGAACGGTTCTGGCTCCGTTCCTCTTCACCATCTACACGGCAGACTTCTCCCACAACTCCACCAAGTGCTTCCTGCAGAAGTTCTCTGATGACTCAGCAATAGTCGGCCTCATCACTGATGGGGACGACAAGGACTACAGAGGACTGACTCACGACTTTGTGGACTGGTGCCAGCTGAACTACCTCCAGATCAATGCCAGTAAAACCAAGGAGCTGGTGGTAGACTTCCGCAGGCACAAACAAATTCAAATTTTTTATTTGTCACGTACACAGTCATACACAGTACGATATTCAGTGAAATGCTTAGACAACTGCTCGTGACTTAAAGAAAAAAAAGGAAAGGGCTATGAATAATGTTAAGGAAAATGTTTTAAAACACTTCTTCAGTAAAGACTCAGAGAAGAGAAACACACAGAACTTCTTGCTAGCAAGGGCAGCCTCAGTGACTCGCGCTAAGAAACTGCCCCTGTCTTTATTTTATACTTCAGTGTGTGTGTGTGTGTGTGTGTGTGTGTGTGTGTGTGTGTGTCCTGCTGATCAAAGGGTTATGAAAGCACAAAAGCTACATCCTTGGTCACAAAGAGGGTAGTCTCCCCCACCCTAGATGGTTCACCCTAGATAACACGGTGAGGAAGTCCAGCAGTTAAAACACTTAGACTAGAACAGACGTAGCTACGTTAATCCTACCATAAAACAATAAAACAAGGTACGACCTCTCCCATGCTTCTAGGATGTGGGGGTGAACACCCTAGAATGTTACAGACCTCCTAGGATGAGACATTCTTTCAATATGCCACCAACTATATACTTCTACACACAAGTGATTACATGCAGTATTCTACCATATGCAAACTTCTATCACTAAAAGATTATACTGACTACTAGATACAATTTTCCCTTGACAAATAAGATAGGAAATAAATATTGAAAAATTAAAAAGTGTAAATTTAACTAGGAAGGAATAAAATATAAGAATAAAAAATATAAAATATAAAAAATGAAATAACTGTACAACACAATTTAGAATGAAGGGTAAATTTAACTGGGAAAGAATAAGATAAAATATATAAATTAAAGTTGAAAATAAAATAACTGTACAACAAAATACACAATACACAATATAGAACTATATAAGAATGTATGAAGAAATCTAAATAAATAAATAAATATATACACAATAACAGCAGCTGTACAAGTATTAACTGGAAATGAAGAATATAGTGACCAGTGTTGTGCAATCCACATTATGTCTTGTGCAGTGCAAATATGCTTAAAGTGATTTAAGTGATGAAGTGAAAACAATGTCCAGAATGTCCAGTGTGTGTGTAAGAACTGTATGTGTGGGTCAGTACTGTGTGGTGGTGTGATTGAGAGACCGTATCGCCTGCGGGAAGAAGCTCCTCCTCAGTCTCTCTGTGTTGGTCTTCAGGGAGCGGAATCGCTTTCCTGACCTCAACAGAGAGAACAGTCTGTTGTTGGGATGGCTGAGGTCCTTCACGATCTTCCTGGCCTTGGTCCAGCACCGCCTGCTGTAGATTGAGTGCAGGTCAGGGAGCTCGGAGCGGATGGTGCGCTCAGCTGACCGCACAATCCTCTGTAGAGCTCGTCTGTCCTGCATGGTGCTGTTCCCGAACCAGGTTAAGATGTTTCCCGTCAGGATGCTCTCTATGGTGCACGAGTAAAAGTTCCTGAGCACCTTGGAGGGCAGTTGGAAGTCTCTCAAGCGTCTGAGGTGGTAGAGACGCTGACGGGCCTTTTTCACCACGGTGTTGATGTGACAGGACCATGACAGGTCCTGCGTGATGTGAACTCCGAGGTATTTGAAGCTGTCCACTCTCTCCACTGGGCACTCGTTGATGACGGGGGTCTGGTAGTTCCTCTCCTGCTTAGTGTTGAAGTCCACTATCAGCTCCTTTGTCTTACTGACGTTTAGGAGGTTGTTCCTCTGGCACCAGTTCTCCAGATTCCTAATCTCCTTCAGGTAGGCCGTCTCGTTGTTATCAGAGATCAGGCCCACCACGACGGTGTCGTCAGCAAACTTGATGATGGTGGTGGAGCTGGTAGTGGCCACACAGTCATATGTGTACAAAGAGTACAGCAGGGGGCTCAGAACACACCCCTGGGGGGCTCCAGTGCTGAGAGTGGTGGAGGCTGAGACATGTCCGCCCATCCTTACTGCCTGTGGTCTGCCAGTTAGGAAGTTGGAGATCCACTGACACATAGATGAGCTGAGTCCCAGATGCTTCAGCTTGGTGGTGAGTGTGGAGGGAATTATGGTGTTAAATGCAGAGCTGTAGTCTATGAAGAGCATTTTAACATAATTCCCCCTTCTAGTGTCCAAGTGAGTGAGTGATGTGTGGAGGAGATGAGAGATGGCATCGTCTGTGGAACGATTTGGATGGTAAGCGAACTGTAGTGGGTCCAGTGTGTCTGGTAGTGAAGAAATGATGAAGTCTCTGACCAGGCGTTCAAAGCACTTCATCACTACTGAGGTGAGGGCTACAGGGCGATAGTCATTGAGAGAAGCAGGGTGGGGTTTCTTCGGGACAGGAACAATGATGGACTCTTTGAAGCATGTGGGGATCACCGACTGAGATAAAGAGATGTTGAATATCTCAGTGAACACAGGAGCTAGCTGGTATGCGCAGTCTCTTAGGATACGACCTGGGATGCCGTCTGGTCCTGCTGCTTTCCTGGTGTTCACTCTCTTGAAGGCTCTCCTTACTTCATGCTCGGAGATGACGAGCACGTTTCCGGTGCTGGCAGTATCTTCCTGTCTGCAGCTGTTAGCGCCGCTAGTACTAGCATTGTTGGAGTCCTTAGCTGCAGCCTCGAAGCAAGCATAGAAAGTGTTCAGCTCGTCTGCCAGAGTCACGGCCGCGTTCGTCATACCGGTTGTTGGTGCTTTATAGTCCGTTATTGTCCTTAGTCCCCGCCACAGGCTCCTAGAGTCACTCTGTTGGAGTTGTGACTCTAGTTTCCTCCAGTAGCGCTGCTTCGCTTCTTTCACCGCCCTCCACAAACATCCTCCACTGCAACCACTGAACATCCGAGGTATGGACATCGAGGCTGTGGACAGCTACAGGTACCTTGGTGTTCATCTGAACAACAAACTGGACTGGACTCATAACTCAGATGCCCTCTACAGGAAAGGGCAGAGCAGGCTGTACCTGCTGTGGAGACTCAGGTTGTTTGGAGTGGAGGGCCCACTCCTGAAGACCTATGACTCTGTGGTGGCCTCAGCCATCTTCTATGGTGTGGTCTGCTGGGGCGGCAGCATCTCTGCTGGGGACAGGAAGAGACTGAACAGGCTGATCAGAAGGGCCAGCTCTGTTCTGGGATGCCCTCTGGACCCAGTGGAGGTGGTGAGTGACAGCTGGTGGTTAAGCTGTCATCCCTCTTGGACAACATCTCCCACCCCATGCAAGAGACTGTGACAGCACTGAGCAGCTCCTTCAGTGGGAGACTGTGGCACCCACGGTGTGGGACGGAGAGATTTCGCAGGTCTTTCCTCCCCACTGCTGTCAGACTCCACAACAAAGACTTTTGCAGCTGATCAACAAACCCACACATGTGCAATAGACTGCTATATGTGCAATTCTTCTGATGAAGTTGTATTTTTGTATTGTCCTACTCCGTTGTATATAGTATTTGTATTTCTATTTTATTCTATTGTATATATTATTCTATTCTATTTTATTCTATTGTATATAGTATTTTATTCTATTGTATTTTATTGCATTCCAGTGTTTTCTAATTTCTGCTACATAACTTTGCACTTTTGCTGTAACAAAACAAATTCCCCACCTGTGGGACTAATAAAGGTCATCTTATCTTAAGTCCTTTCCCACTGGGTTCACCCAAAAACAGCTATACTAGTTTTGTTTTAATTACAACATGCTGAGGTCGCCTGCTGACATCAGTTTTCATGGATCATTTGTGTTGATATCAATATGGAAATCTAGTGTTGTATATAAATCTTTGTGAAGTCATAATGTTGCACTGAAAAAAATGTTTTAAAGCAGGGATGTACCCCAAGGACTAACACATTGTTGTGAAGTTGAGAGATGACTCAGTATAAACTAAAGCGTTTACTTAATCGCTGATTACATGCTAACCTGTGTATTTTATTATCTGTACACATATGACAGGAGCACATTGGCTGAAATCTTTGGTTCCTATAAGCTGTAAAAACACAGATTTTTAAAAAAAAAAAAAAGAAATAAGGCGTGCTGTTCAGCTCTCTCAGTGTCCTTTCATGATATTACTCAGTGTGGTTTCTTGGAACTTTTTTCAAGGTGAACTTTGAAACAATGGTCAAATGCTTAGCCAACCTAATGAAAAATGAAATCAGCTGCAGCTCTTACCATGTCTGCCATGTGAAAATAATTACTGCAGACACCAGACTGCTAGCAAACAGAGCAGATTACATCCTGCATCCATTCAGGGAGAAAATGAAGAGTCATTTAAATCGTGTGGGGTTTTTTGTACGTGTGAATCCTGAATGTGCTCATCAATGTCAGATGGCACACTGATGAGGCACGAGCATCAGACAGGTCTGAGATTTATCCTCCATGCTTTCAGACTCTGCCAACGGCATTAAGGTGCAAACTTTCTGAGAAAAACCTACTAACATCAAAGTTAAAGAAAAACCAAAGAAAATAAGAATAAACTGAAATAAGAAAACAGGAACCTGTAATCACTGATTTGGTTCATGCAGATAGAAACATCCAATTCGGACATTTCAGTTCTGGTCCAATAAACACACAGAGGGTGATAAACTTAAGAAACAACAGATTTATTAAACATAATGAAGAGCAGAGGAGACACCCTGCCTCACTCCTGACAGTCACTAAAATCTCAGAAACACTGACGTTTATGTTTTATTACAACAACACCTGTTTCTGCTTCTTATTAAAGGCTCATTCCAGTTTATTTCAGCCTGCTGCACCTCCCACGCCGAGGGGAAATCAGCCGCTCAGAGGTGACATGAGGAAGGTAAAGCTGGTCCCAGCACCACACTGAAGGGGGTGATCAGGATTGACTTCTCATTCATCCTCATTTTTCTTCCATGAAACTCTTTGACATGAAATTCTGTTTGCATCTACATGATACGGGGAAATGCTCACTGATTTAAAGCAGGTATAATGAAAAATAAGACCAAGAGTAGATCCTTGAGGAACATCACAGAGCTCAGGAGCTGCACTGAGGCCTAGTTTGTGATGGTTTTTTTTTTTTATGAACTGTCAGTGATGCAAAGAATAGGTCCCCTTTAAAATATACTATATACAATCCTCAACCACAAACCTGCGTTACATTTACAAAAAATAAATAAAATTAAGAAATACTGCACGCATCAGAACTTCAGACGTGTCTGAAAATGCTGAAATAAAGCTGACGTTATGAGCAGCCACAACATTAAAGCCTCTGCAAAACACCGAACATCTCACTGGGATCCAACGGGTCCTGGTGTTCAGGTGGACGTTTCTGACACTGTCCACTCGCCCAAGCATCACAGTAAGCCAAGCATGGCACGCCCCTGGTGGCAGCAGTTTCCCACAACAACATCAAACTGCTCAGCAGCAGCTAAGAGAACAAAGAGCGTAAACTGGGTTTAAGGAGGTTAAAGCAGAACGAAGAGGAGCCACCGCCTGTGAAGAAGCTTCAGAGTAGGAACAGCAGGTTTTAATTTTGTGGCTCACCCACTTTTTTGGGTCGAGAGCAGAAAAAAAAAAGTTTGGCATTCAATGGTCGGTGTGGCACTGTGAGTGTACATGGTTATGGAAAACGGGTTCACCGCACGCTCTGAGACATGTGTAGAGGCGTAAGCATCTCCTCAAAGATGGCACCCTTCACGTTGGAGCCCCGCAGGTTCGCCTCCTGAAGGTCGCAGCCGGACAGGTCGCAGTTCTGCAGGAACAAGAGAGAAAATGAACCTGAAAGCATCACGGACAGCCCGTGCATTTCTGGAGCTCATTGAAGTTTTTATGCATTTGTGTCTCCTCCACCTCCTGAAGATTTCTTAAGTTGAATAAATGGAGCCAATTAAATTATATTAGTCATGCTTCTCTCCAGGTACTCCGGCTTCCTCCCACAGTCCAACGGTGTGCAGTTAGTGGGGTTAGGTTAACTGTAGAGCTGGGCGATAGAACGATGATATGTATTGCAAAATAACTTTTTCTCGATAGAAAAATTAAACTATTGCGATAGACCTCACCGCTCGTCCTCTTAACAAAAAAAAAAAAAAAAAAAAAAGGAAGAACAGCCAATCCAAATAAACTAGCGCAGAGCCAAACCAATCACAGCCGCAGCGTCACATCAGGTGACTTGTTATGTACAGCACAAGTGCCAAGCCGCACATGTGTATTTGTTTGGGAAGCAGCCAGCCGCCGTGCCGCCCGGGTAACTGAGGAAATGAGTGTGCCGACTAGAGAAAAATCAACCGAGAGCGTGACCGAAGGTTACCGAAGAGAAAACATGATGGTTCCAATGCCGGAGAGATTGTCGAACGGAAGAGCCATAGAAGTTCCGTAGTGTGAAGGTATTTCGGCTATTTCAAGTCTGACCAAAAAAAAAAAAAAAAAAAAAAAAAAAAAAAAAAAAAAAAAAAAAACAGTAGCGTGCACTGTAAATTGTGCCAAAAGCAAGTCTGGAAATACAATAAACCGGTGCATGCTCAATCTCTGACTGGAAGCGCTAATTCGTCATTCGGCTTTTGTCAGACTAAAGTAACTGTTAAAACTGTTTGAAAAGCTCAGCTATACAACAAGGAGAGATCGAGAATTTCCTTTTAGTTCTCAGTTTATTTGATATTGACAAAAGTTAGTCAGTTTTGTCTGTTCTTCTGTAAAACAAACTAAGATTTATTTTTAGAATTAATATTTTGTTTCTAAGTGGAATTGACAATTTAGTCTGTTTCGTTTGTTCTATTTTGAAACTTAAACGCTTTAGCGGCTGCCTTTTGTGTAGTTTGCAATATTTGCCTTTATTTATCTGAAAAAGTCTCATGTTCCTTAAGTACATCTACCCTGTTGAACTTATTATGGGAAATGAATATTTAAATCAAAACAATACTCGTGAGCAACGGTACATTTAAATCTTACAAATATAGTTATTTGGCTGATATCGTGATAGATATCGTTATCGCCTGAAATGAAAAAAACATATCGTGATATGAAAAAACCTTATATCGCCCAGCTCTATTTAACTGGTGATTATAAATTGCCCATAGATGTGAATGGTTGTCTGTCTCTGTGTTAGACTGGCAACCTGTCCAGGGCATACCCCGCCTCTCTCTCCAAGACAGCTGGGATAGGCTGCCCCCCGTAACCCTCAGTGGGATCATTAGAAGAGAATGGAAGTGATCATGTCTGACTGAAGCTGCGTCATCACCTTTTTAATGTTACAGGTCAGATTAAATCACATCTTTAGCATTTGGACCGAGCACGAGTCCATGGCTCAGTCAGTCTTCCCGCACAGAAAATACATCTGATTCAGCGTGGCACAGGCACTTGCACAGTGTGATGTGTTTAGGAAGCGAGACATTTATCAAGCTCATCAATGTGAACAGGACACACAGGTCAGATCTGTTTTGAACTCCAGCCTCACGTGTGAGTGTGCGTGTGCATGTCTGTACGGACCTCGAGGTCAGTCCCAGCCAGAGTCGCCCCCCGCAGGTTACAGTTCTTCAATTTGGCATTCTTTAGCGTGGCGACTCTCAGGTTGATGCCCGTCATCTGACTTCCCTCCATGTCCACACCCTTCAGGTTGGCCCCTGACCCAACACACACACAAAAATATAAATCTCTCTCTCTCTCTCCACGACAACCAGTGTCTGTGCGTTTATCTATAGATGGTTTGTGATTGGCTGCTTCACCCTCCAGGTTGGCCTTGACTCCTGCAGGATCCTCAAAGTTGCAGCCTCGCAACGACGCTCCTTCAGCGTTGGTGCACAGCATCTTCACGCCCTGCAGGTTGGCGCCCTGCACACACACACACACACACACACACACACACACACGATTCTGACAGAGGAATCAAAGCCAGATACAGCAGACACCTGTCCCACCTGCCGATCTGAACCCAGAAGAGTGATCAGAAACAAGTGTCAAAGTTCTGCAGGTCATTCAGACTGTGACAGATGATCACCCAGGTGCTCAGACACCAGGTTGAATCATCAGATTGTGAAAATTAAACTGATCTGGGTTCAGTTTCTAACAGAGCTGTGGAGATCTCCTGGGCTGTTGAAACTTTGAGGGCTCAGAGTTATTGTACACGACAATTAGGTGATGGTGGGCGGCGACTCACGTCAAGGCAGGCCGCGGACAGGTCGGCTCGCTCCAGGTTGGCCCCGCTCAGGTTAGCGTGGGTCAGGTTGGCTCCTCTCAGGTTGGCCATCTTAAAGTTAATGTAACGCAAATCCAGACGAGAAAGGTCGGCACCGGTGAAGTTCAGACCCTGAAACAAAACCCACAGAGCGCCCACTGTTACTCAAGTTACCTGTGGTGTCTTCAAATGCCTGACCAAGCCAAGATAATCTAAGCACAGGTGATCACGCCCCCTCACCTGTCAGGTAGCTGCTGTGGGTAACCAGCAGGTAGGGAGTGTTAACTCGACCAAACACAGAATGGCCGATTCACAGAGGAACTGTTTGGTTCCCAGGGGTTAATCTCAGCTAATGCTGTTGTTACCATGACAACCAGGTACACAGACACACAGTGCTCACCTGACAGCGCAGCTCGGACTTTGTGGTCGTGGCCAACAGGAACCTGATGAACTCTTTCCGGGTCAAAGGTGAGTGATCGTCAGGAGGCTGAGAGGACTGAACACAAAATACCAATCACAGCAGAGTACGCGCACGCGCACACACGCACGCACGCACGCACGCACGCACGCACGCACACCCACCTTTATAAGGGCCTCCAGCTGTTCGGCAAGCTGCTCGATCCCAAAGAAGCGGGCTTCCTCGAGCACACCTGCACAGGTAAGAACACTGTTAGCAGGCTGTGTCTATGGGCTGAACGGGCGCTGTGAATTTATGTGGCGTACCGAGGGGGTTGATCCCCTCGTTGATGATGAGCTGTCCGTGCCGCAGGTAGTTCAGGATGGGCTCGAAGTAGTCCGGGCTGCGGTCGATCAGGTATGCGCCCTGGCGGTCACGCTTGTTCGCCCACACGTCTGAAACGTGCGCATGATTAAAGCACGCTGCACATGCACCACTTCCTGCTGAAGTGAAGCTGTGCTCACCTTTCTCTCTGAACATGTGGGCCAGCATACTCTCCGGCTCCTTACTGACTAACGTGCTCCTGAGCAAGCAAACACACACAAGATACAGATTAACAATGACCTTTAACCCTCCACGTCAGGGAGGTTCAGCTTCACAGAAACAAAATCATGAAATTTGTAATAAAGCTCAGGACAAGCTGATCAGCAGCCTCTGATCACCATCAGCAGCCTTCAGGTGAGTGACAGAATAATCTGGATATTCTGCATCGCTGTGGAACAACAGCGGCCCCAGCATGTCACTCTGCACATTACAGCACCTCCAACTCCACTTTTAAAGATTTTGACTTTGACAGCTGAGCGTCATTAAAGACTGATTATTAAGGTCATCACGAAAACAAAAACAGCCGATTTAAATCAGTGTAAAACCTGCCGTGACGACGGTTATGCTTACCGCGTCGTCGTAAAGCAGCGTCCACCGACGTTGAGAGTCAGCCAATCAGTGTGAGTCTGATCCTTATCAGGGCCTCTGGGGTCATCCTGAGGATCTGGACAGGTGAGCGCACAAGTAGCATTAGTGCAATAAACATGAGTCCAATCAGCTCTTTTACCAGCAGACACCAACAGGAAGTCTGCACAAAAGGTGGGTGGGGCTTATGTGTCAGATTAGGGACATCATTTGGATGTCAGAGTAGAAAAGAAAAAAAAAAAAAACAACAACAAACAAACAAACAAACAAAAAAAAAAAAAAAAAAAAAAAACCCCAAAACAAAACAAATCAAATCAAATCACTTTTATTGTCACATCACATGTGCAGGCACACTGGCACAGCACATGCGAGTGAAATTCTTGTGTGCGAGCCCCACAAGCAACAGAGATGTGCAAACACAACAACACAAACGAGCAAAATACAAGAATGGCCAACCTGAAACTAATAAATATATGTACAATATATAATAGTGTATGCATTTCTGGATGTGTATACTGAATATTTTTCTACGTGTGTGTGTACACATTTTTACAAATTAAATAGTAAAAAAAAAAATAAAATAAAAAAATAAAATAAAATAAAATAAAATAAATAAATAAATAAATAATAATAATAAAATATATAAAATATACAGAGTTGAATATGTGCAAAACAAGTGGCATTTATATACAGTGTGGAGTGCATAATGTTGAAGTTCCAGTAGTGAAGCTGAGGTGTCTATGACGTGTTCAGCAGTCTGATGGCCTGATGGAAAAAGCTGTCTCTCAGTCTGCTGGTACGGGACCGGATGCTGCAGAACCTCCTTCCTGATGGAAGCAGTCTGAACAGTTTATGGCTGGGGTGACTGGAGTCCTTGATGATCCTCCCCGCTTTCCTCAGGCAGCGCTTCCTGTAGATGTCTTGGAGGGAGGGAAGCTCACCTCCAATTATCCGTTCAGAGCACCGCACTACTCGCTGGAGAGCTTTGCAGTTGTAGGCGGTGCTGTTGCCATACCAGGTGGTGATGCATCCAGTGAGGATGCTCTCAATGGCACAGTGATAGAAGGTCCTGAGGATGCGGGGGCTCATGCCGAATCTTTTCAGTCTCCTGAGAAAGAAGAGGCGCTGCTGCGCCTTCTTCACTGTTTTGTTTGTGTGTACAAGTTCAGAGCATGTGCAGGAACTTCTGCACACTCTGAGCTCAGAGTCAAAAACACCCCAGCAGCACACCTCTGACCCCTGGGCTGCAGGTCATCACACTCACCTTCAAATGAGTCTCCCTCAGAAACGTAGAGCACATCATCGTCTCTGCACACACAAACATAGGAAACAGTGATGGTCGGGCTGTCTCAAAACAAACAAACACACAAAAAAGGCAGGCATATACTTGCATATTAAATAAACATAGAAAAATAAGGTATAAATAAACAAAAGTGTGGAATCATTAAAATGATCTAAAATTAAAAAGGGATTATATCTATGTGCCCGGTTTTTATTGTCACTTGCGTCACTTTTTGCCCTCCACAGGAACATTTCACCGCTCACAGGTGGAAACACCTTGAACGCCTCTGCAGTTCCGTGGATTCACTGTTACACCTGCACAGGCCCCTCACCTGATCAGCGCGATGTCGTCGATGAGACCGCCGTTCCCGTTGTACACATTGGAGGCTCGAATGCCCAGCTTGGAGCCGGCCACACACAGCAGGTCCTCCAGCGATCCGTACACGGCCACCACCTGCGCGCTCGCGGACAAAACGCACCGTTACCGCTTCCGCCCGCCGAGAGATCCGGGGGCGTGCTGGAGCGGGAACAGGCCATTTTTGTCCCCGCCAGCACACAGACTCCCGCCTCACGGTTATAGCTTACCTTCCCGTTCGTGCACGTGCCGTTAACGAACAGCGTGACTCTCCTCATAGCGAACAGCTTCAGTCGAACCGGCCGCTCCCGCCCGGGAAAGGAGCTCCTTCGGCCACAGCAACAAGCGCTCTCCCTTTCCTCTTCCACAATCCGCTCAGACACCCAGCGAGCCAATCAGCGGGCCAGACTGGAGACCGACAGCCAATCAGTGAACAGGGGGCGGGGCCCGTGAGTTTCCGTAAAGAAACTCACGGATTGAGGGACAATTAAAGTATATTTTATCTTAAAGATTTAAAAAAAAAAAGAAAAAAAAAAAAAAAAAAAGTATCCAACTAACAAATTAAAAGTAACAGAATTTATATTTAGAATCAATATTTAGAATCAAATAGAAAAAAGTGAAGCAAATAACTGAACACGAAAAATAAAACAAAGTTAGAAATGTATCAAATGATTAAAATAAAAGCAATGCAGACCTACACAATTTAAAAGTGAAAGCAGAAGCAACACCCCTCAGACACTTCGCTGATACTGGTTTGAACTTCTAAGTTTAATTCTTCAGCATGCTGCTGGAAACTGGTTGACTTTGACATTACATCATTATGACATAGTCATACAGCTGCTGCATGTGTCAGCTGCCTCCATGCCAACAGTAAAAATGTGACTGGAGGCCACCTGAGTGCAGCTTACTCCCCATCATGTTTGAGATCTGAGCTCAGTGAAATCAGAAGATGGGTCACTGAGGCCATAGAGGGATGGCGTTGTCAGCCACAACCCTCAGGTAGGCTGCGAGCCCCCTCCCCCCCGAACACAGTGCTTTCAAGTGTCACGTTAAAGTTTTGAAAGGGTCAATTTGAAGCACACAAGCTCTTTAGAGTTGCATGTGATGTAATATTACTGAGTGGAGGTTTTCATTATACCTGTATAAATAATAATAAATCAAAGGCTGTGAATAAAGATGACAGACATCCCTGATTTAAAGAAAAAGCTTTATTAAAAATAATCCATATGGAGCTGCTGACAGACTGCAATCAGAGCAATCAGCTAGTTAAAATACACCAGAAACACCATAGTCCAGTTACAGTCTAGTTCTGACCCACTGGGTTCCATAACGGTGTGAGCAGTTCAGCTTGAGGTCGTATTGCAGATCATTTGACCAGTGTGAGGCAAGACGCAGTATCAGTGTTCACACTGTCTGGTAAAGACAGTTTAAACTCCTCCAGGATTTAGTTAAAAACAATTCTGCACCATCATCTCCGCCTCTAATTGCCGCTGCCATCCCTGTGGCGCTCTGCTCTCTGAACGTCACCATAGTTGAGGATGCGCCTGCCGGCATGCATGATGAACAGCTGCTTTGTGAAGTACACCTTCAGCACACCTTTGAGCAGCACGTAAGCACTGCCACCCTGTGGAGCAGACACCAGTAAACCAGTCAGTACCACCGGCTTCTTAGCCAACCAATAATCTCAAAGCGTGTTACAGAGCACATCATTCTCCAATCAGAGGTCAGAGTACATTCACCAGCAAAGCGCGCTGCAGGTGAGAGGTCACAGACGGGAACAGTAGCTGCCCAGTTAGAACAGCAATGGAGGGAAACATGAGTGCGCCACAAAGCATCCTGGAGGTCAGGAACTGACGCTTCCCTCTGGGCTCATCCACGGGAATGGGGGGCAGGTACTGCTGATTATCTGTGGGGAGGGGCAGACTCACCTTTAAACAACAAGCTCTGACAGAGCAATTCCTCATGATAGCGAGCAGAGTCAAACAGTAACACTGACGTTGCAGCGACAGATGTCTAAACTAGGACAAGAACATCAGCACAGCACCCCCCTCTGACTGCCTGCAGTACTGCACATGCCATTTACAGCAAACCTTGACGGACTTTACAAGGTCATTTGTCCCGTGGCAGCAAATATGGCACAACTTAGAATTCAGTTTTATTTATAACCAGTGAATAACAAGGAAATTTTATACCATAAAGAATATAAATTCATGAGTTAATCAGCACACCTGAAAGAATATAAAAGGTCTTAAAACATTTAACTTTAAGTGAAACTGCTCATGCATCTGCACTGCGACATATTCCGGGTGTGCATGTACCTGACGGCAGCTTTGGTTCGTAGCAGCATTTCTGCCACAGCTTCAAGACGCAGTCATTCCAGCGGACGGTCTTCCCAAGAATGAGCAGTACAGGGATGGTGGGCAGGCCGGAGAGCAGGAGCACAGGCCTTGCTCCCCGTATAGCCATCATACCATTTGCCCGTCCCATAACCTGCAGAACACGAGGTGTTGAGGACTCTGCCAATGTGATGCCCTTACAAGACGTTCCCTCTGTGTACCTGCACGACAGTCACAGCGCCGTAGCTCAGAGCTGTCCAGTACGCCGTCCCAACCAGCAACCCAAGGGTCCCATATGGACCGATGGCTGTCAACGTTCTGTCCACCACTCGCAGAAAGTCCACCAGTGGGCCTGAGGAGACAACCCAGGATCAACGTTAACCCACTACGCATTCTCCACTGACAGGACACACCACCCTTCCTACACCTGTTAAACACCATGTGTTCAGTTTCTCCCTTTGCCTGAAGGGGTAGTAGAGAGCTCCACCACACCTCTGAGGACCTATGATATGACCCTGAATAAGTTGACACTCACCCATCTGTGGGAAGATGACAGAGTACGCCACCTCACACAGCTGACATCTGATTGGCTGCTGGCTCACTCTCAGTCTAGTGTCCAGCCAGTACTGCAAGCAGGTCAGGTGCACCCACTTAGTGCTTCCTCTGCACCTGCAGGGACTCAGCCACTCAGCACCGGGGTCATCCTGCTCTGTGGCAAAACACACCCAGCAGTGCCTGAAATGAGACATGAATGAACCTCAGCTTCAAGTTCGCTCATGAAACAGTTAAAAGGTGTTAAAACACACAAGGCCTCACTGCAGCTGCACGACTTGTACACAAGACGGCAGTATAGTCCCTGAATTACCCAGAGTCACCACACACATGAAAGAGTTCAGCCTGAAAATGAGCCGAGCAGCAGAACAAAAATAAAATTAGAAAAAGTTAAAATTTTACAAAAATGTCTTCATAACAATTCTCAAGGAAAACAAAATGTATTAAAATTTAGAATTACAATCAGCATCTTAATTGCAACAACTGAAAGAAAGTTACTGGAACATCTGCATACACAAAAAAGTGAAAGAGTTATTTTAACTTCTTTCAGCTTTGTGGAATTAAAGTTCATTCTGAGGATAAATCTTACTTCTCAGATGGCTGCAGAGCCATGATGTTACCAGGCATAGTCTGAACCACAGCAGGCTGCTCCACTCAGTCTGGAGTTAAAGGTGACATCGTTAAACAGATAAGGGAAATTAAAAAAAAAAAAAGTTTAAAGAAAAAGCTGCGACTGTCAAAAGATTTAAACTTAGGCATCATTTTAATGACGCAGGAGAGAAACAGACAATGCTACAGAAATACTCAAGAAAACTGCTAACATGCATTTAACCTACATCTTAATTGTAATCGGTTGGAGTAAACTTCTTTAAACTGCAAGGGGGGAGGCAATAACACAAACCTTTAACACTTCCAAAGAAACCATCAGAGAAGCAGCACAGAGTGAAAACACGCTCTAATCAAAAACTGATGATCAGGCAAACTCCAAAAACACGGCAGTGTCAGGGCGTGACACGTTTGCAAATAATCAGAGTTCAAAACCCACACCTGCGTCTAAAAACAGACCACCATGTCCATCCATCTATATTAAACGTGCCAGCGTGAGGTGGTAGCGAGTACATTAGAAAATGAAATACAATGAAACTTAAAAAAAAAACAAAAAAAACAAAACAAAGTACCGACACGGAGAATGCGTTTTGTTTATTTGGACACGGAGAAAGTACGTTCAAATTAAATGTCTGATGTTTAAAAAAGTGACAGCGGGTGAGATAAAAGCGCAAAGCCCCTTAGCCTCGGACTGCGGCTAAGCTAATGGCAGGATGTGGGTCAACGAGTGCCCAGATTTCTGACAGGGATCCGAACCACCAACCCCGAGGTCCGTCAGAACCTCACACCTATGCTCAATCACATCTCCGCTGTCTGTGAGCACTCAGCCAGCCAGCAGCTACCTTACATAGATCATGTTTTTACTTTGCAAGTTCTTGATTAGGGGTGGGTTTTGATTATCGCTTTTCTGATTACAATCCATGCTAAATTGAATAAAGTGATATTGATTCATTAAAATCCCGTGTCGATTTGTAAATTAACGTTATTATGCCTGAAACGCCAGCATCTCAGGTTAAACCTCACTGTTGTGATATTTTGATACCACGGTTAGCATTTACAGGAAAACTGTCACTCAATAAGGCCCATCTACTAGTTGTTTTTCTCTTTCTCTGTGACCCAAGAATTAATGTGTAAGACTCACAAGCTGGTACCCGAAGGTCAAAAACACCACAGAGATGAGACCACTTCCTTACTCCCATCCTCCCTTTTTCTTTATCTCCTGGAAAAGGCTCGTTAAAGGCTAGGTGGTTTGTTTCAGAATTCACTAATGAAAGAACTCTGTATTTTATGTCTAGGAGTGTATTTTGCTGGGATGATCATAAATTATAGCTGAACTGATAAACTACACAAGGGATACTTTGCTCAGAAGGCAGGAAGACGTTTCCTTATTTAGTCTGTACCGGTTTGAACTGGGAAAGCTGACACACGAACCTTTTTTTCTCTATATAAACTGCTGTGTATCAAATAAACCTTTGAGTTGATTCTGGGAAAGCAATCTGAACAGTTTCTGTATCACTTTGTTCTCCTAACTGCTCCCGATATCGTAACTAACCCAGCTGAACGGCATACCTGAGTGTTACTTTGAATAATTAGGAATCTTATAAGGAAAGGACAGAACTCTGCTTATCGCTCACGCCACGGAGGAAACCCGGGACGGCAATTTCCTTCACTCACAACATGTCGTCAAACACCATGCAGCTAAAACAGTAACTGGGAGCAGGTTTACGGATTCTGCATACAAACGTGAACACAGAGCGCGGACCCGACGCGTCAGAATCAGATTTTGGTGTGTCGTTGGGTCCGCGCTGTTTGCCTCTTTTTTTTTCGCTGGCTTCTGCAGCTGCAGGTTTCATAACTCTGTTTACATCTCTAATTAAGTCTCACATGTGTCAGCTTTCTTTTAATAGATACGAAATTATGGATATA